GGCAAATCAGGCAAGGAATTTACAAGAAAGGAGTTGTTTGTCTGTTTGACTGTTAGATTGGAATCGCTCCTTTTTACAGCAACCAAACTCCCTTATAGAAACAAGAACATCAATCGATGTTAAAGGCTTGGACATCGATCTTTGAGAAATTCAGAAACAAAACATCACACTCTCCCTTTCAGCTTCTCAAGAGATGGGAGGCGGAACGACAGATCTGAATGAAGATACAGCAGGTGTTTATCTCCCCCTTCGGGATGATGATGGCATTGTTAATGCTTCCGATGACAGTCGATTGAAACAGCTGGGTTACAAGCAAGAACTTAGCCGTACCCTCTCGTGCGTATATCCTTTCCTTGATCATCTCTTGATAAATTAAACTTCCCGTCTATGTTTTATTTTCCGCTGAATATGGCTTGTTTATCTTGCGACTCGTGTAGGCTAATTGCGAATTTCTCAGTGACCTTCTCCATTGTGTCAGTCCTCACCGGTCTGACAACGATGTACAGTTCGGGTCTAACCTACGGTGGGCCAGTTACGATGGTATATGGGTGGCCAGTAGTGGGTATGCTGACCCTCACCGTGGGGGTGTCTATGGCTGAGATTTGTTCCGCTTATCCTACTTCTGGCGGGCTTTACTTTTGGAGTGCAAGGCTTTGTGGCAAAGATTGGGGGCCTCTTGCTTCTTGGCTCACTGGCTGGTAAGTGCGCTTCTTCCTTCTTATTTCTTCTTAGCTCGCCTTTTTTTATTTAATTAAAGTAGTTGATGGAGATCCCGTGATCTGTTTAATTTAAACCTATGCATGTATCTGACCAGTGATAAAACGATGAGTGGAGTATAAGGTCATTGGGCTTCGTTATGCAATTCTTGTTAGGCAGCATTCACTAATAATTTTAAGAACTAAAATTATAAACACAGAAAGTAAAAACTTGGAAAAACCTCATTATACATTACTATACATAATGCAAAAACGTACGGTGTTTTTAGTGTTAAAAAAAAATAACGTGTATCCTCTCCCATCTCACTGTTAATTATAATGCTGCAATTTAAAAAAATTCAATTTCATCCTTAAATTTTATTTTGCATGATAGAACCCTTTTGAAACCAAATTAAAACTTAATTACTTGTTTTTTTTTTTTTTTTTGGCAAGGGAGGCTTGAGTTAAAAGAAAGGGGATATGAGTGAAAAAAACAAATAATATATGTGATAGACTGAAAATTTCTATTAAAATTCATTCAAGCCCCTCATTTTGATTTAGAGAAAGAAAGTATTTGCTGGGGATGAATTCAGCCTCTATAATAATTGTTTTTTTATATTAAATAATTTTATATGATAAGAAAAATTAATATTAGGTGTTTTTTCATCTTGAAAACACCTATAAAATCATATCTAAGTTTGATAAAAAAAAATTGTGCTTGGTGAATCCTGTGTTTTGAGCGGTTTTTTATGTTTTTTGTAGCCTAGATTAGTTTAATAAGATTTTTAAGATATTTACCAGGTGTTTTGGACATAAAAAAAATGTGTACTCAAAATAGGTGTTAGGTAAAAAAACAAAAGACCCCACATAAAGTTTATAATCAAATTATTAATAAAAAAATTCTATATTCTCTTAATATAACTAAAGCCGTTAGCCGAATGTAGAGACTTGATGGTTTTAAGGCCCAATCTGTTAAAATAGAATCCAGGAGGGCTTTTCCAATCAAATGTCTAGAATGGACCCAGCATCTAATAAAAGATATAAACCTTCAACTTTGCTAATTTAAAATATTTTTTATTTAAAAATATATTAAAATAATATATATTTTTTATTTTTTAAAAATTATTTTTAATATCAGTGCATCAAAAAAATTTAAAAATAATTCTTTATTAAATTTAAAAAAAAACACAATTCTAACTATGTTTCGTTTATTAATGGTTACAACATATACTTCACTTTTTTTTTAAAAAAAAAGAGAAAATCAACCATGCTTGATAAAGATAGGACTGCTAATTACTCATTTTTAGATTTGTTGAATTATAGGAATAGGATTGCTCCTTTTAATTTTTTTTCGTCACAAGGCATATATGATTGCCTTTCCACGATCGCAACTCGAAACTTCCAACTTGTTTTGATGAAAACTCGCGACCGAGTATTCTGCTTGGAGTTATCAGCATGGGAGTTTCAACCAGCTATTCTTGATACGTGTTTACACTCCATACTCCACACTTAGGCAAGTAGTCTCAGTTTAAACTGTGTTAGGTTATGTGTTAGCTTTCATGTTTAGGTGCCATTACAATTTTAATATATTTGTTTAGATGCAAACCACATATTGTGTCATCAACCCAAAAAAACCTGCGTTGTAACCGCAAGCGTAGCAAACTCTGAGTGTGTTTGATTTTATAATAATTATTATGGTTATAATTTGAAAAAAATGATTTTAAAAAAGTTATTTTTCCTGTGATTGGTTCATATAAAATATGTGTTTGGTTAAAATTATGGTTGAGGTTGAGATTGGTATTGTATATAAAATGACTCAAAAAAACATAAATTAATTTATTGTTTGTTTTAATAGAAAAAATAACATTTAGTACAAACAATAATCGGTATAAAAAGAAAATTATTCATTTAAAAAAATGAACAGTATTGTCCCATCAAACTTTTTCCAATCTCATCACGAATATAATACATACACGAAGTCCTCTGGTGTCCACATATTTGTGATTGTGTAACAACGTCAGTAAAAGTATTAGCAGGAACAAAATTAGGATGACGATCAAACTCGTTAAATTCAACATCTTGGATCGACATCCTTCGAATGTAGTTATGCAGTGCTATTAATGCCACAACAATTTGAACTTGTGTTTTGTAAGGAAATATTGACATGTTTTGCAAGATTTTCCACATTTTCTTTCAAACTCCAAATATACGTTCTATTACATATCATAACGATGAATAGACACAGTTGAATATTTTTTTTCCGACTTTGTGGTTGTCCTCGTTGATGAAATTCTAGAAGATGATATCTCTCATCTTTATATGATTTCAAGTAACCATACTTATTTGGATATCCCAAGTCAAAAAGATAATATTTCTCTGCAACAAGATAATGATAATACAAAACTTATTTCCTATTGCAGACACAAAATAAATTTATTCAAATGGAACAACATCCAAATTTTTTATTTCGCAATACCTTGTAGTGGCTTCGAAAATCTTATATTTGAATTGTCAATCGCTTCATGAAATATTCTTATATCATGCGCACTACCTTCTCACCCAACCCAAATAAATGTAAATTGCATGTTAAAACTACATGCTTCCATTATATTTTGAGTTGGTACACCTTTTCTACCAATAAATGGTATTTGATTTGCTTTTGATGCATAAACACGTATATGTATTCCATCAATCGCGCTAATACAATTCTATAAAAACAAAAAAATAGTTTCAGAATCAATTTAAATGTACTTCAAATATTTTTTTGTAATATTTTTCAATTATTTAACAACTTAAATAAAATATTTTTCACCTTGAAATGTGGCATATATCTTGGATTTATTGCAATTTTTATTGGTGTTGTTGTGAATTCTAAATCTACTGATTTGATAAAATCAACAGTTAGCAAGCATACTGACCTAAGAACTTCTTGAAATATCTGCTTACGGTTTCTCTTGAATGTTGAAATCTCTCCTGAACTTTCATGTTTAAAGATTCTAGAGCTAAAGTATAGAGAAACATGCCTACTTTCTCAATAATACTCATTTTTCTAGACTGTTTTAGCTCGTACAATGTTTTCAAATTAACATATAAACTCTATAATGTTTTTACATCCATCCGAGATATGTTAACACAACGTACTCAATATCTATTTAAAATTTCATTCAACCATCTCTATTATAATACAAAGTCAGTGCTCCATTAGTATGCTTGCTAGAGAGTATGATCGCAATAAAATAATATTATGCATTACTAGAGCACTAAATTTGTATTATAATAATTATATTTATAAAAAATAATGTATGGTTTCATACAACACATTAATAAGATAGTTGAATGAAATTATAAATGGGTATTGGATACGTTGTGTTAATATGTTTCAGATGGATGCAAAAATATTATAGAGTTTGTGTGTTGATTTCGAAACACTGTACGAGCTAAAACAGTCTAGAATGATGAGTGTTATTAAGAAGGTAGACATGTTTTTCTATATTTTAGCTCTAGGATCTTCAAACAGGGAAGTTCAGGAGAGATTTCAACATTCAGGAGAAATCGTTAGCAGATATTTCAACAAAGTTCTTAAGTCAGTGTATTTGCTAACTATTGATTTTATCAAACCGATAAATCCATAATTCTTAACAACACCAATAAAAATTGCAATGAATTCAAGATATATATCACATTTCAAGGTGAAAAAATATTTCATCTAAGTTGTTAAATAATTGAAAAAGGTTATAAAAAATATTTGAAGTACATTTAAATTGATTTTGAAACTATTTTTTTTGTTTTTGTAGAAGTGTATAGATGTTATTGATGGAATACATGCACGTACTTGTGTATCACAAGTAAACTAAATACTATTTATTAATAGAAAATGTGTACCAACTCAAAATATAATAGCAGCATATAACTTTGACATGCAATTTATATTTATTTGGGCTGGGTGAGAAGATAGTGCACATGATATACGAATATTTTATGAGGTGATTAACAATCCAAATATAAGATTTTTGAAGCCACCAGAAAATATTGTGAAATAAAAAATCTAGGTGTTGTTCAATTTGAATAAATTTATTTTATGTATGCAATAGAAAATAAGTTTTGCACTATCATTATCTCGTTGCAGGGAAGTATTATGTAATTGATTCGGGAAATTTAAATGAATATGATTACTTGGTGCCATATAGAAGTGAGATATATCATCTTCCAGAATTTCATTGACGAGAACAACTATAAAGTTGGGAAGAAATATTCAACTGTGTCCATTTATTGTTACGATGTGTAATAGAATATACATTTAAAGTTTGGAAGAAAATGTGGAGAACCTTGCAAAACATGCCAGTGTTTCTTTATAAAATACAAGTTCAAATTATTGTGACATCAATGATACTGCATAACTATATTTGAAGGAAATCAATTAAAGATGTTGCATATAACGAGTTTGATTGCCATCCTGATTTTATTCCTAGTGATACTTTAACTGACATGGTTACACAATCACCAACACGTGGACACCAAAAAGCTTCGTGTATGGATTATATTGGTGATGAGATTGCAACAAGTTTGATGGAGCAATAAAGTTTATTTTTTTTAAATGAACAATTTTCTTTTTATGCCAATTATTATTTATACTAAATGTTAAATTTTTTATTAAAAGAATAAATTAATTTATGTTCTTTTTAATTATTTTATATATAATATCAACTCCAATTATAATTTTAACCAAACATATCATATCATAATTTTTGATAAAATAAAATTAAATCATAATTTTAATCAAATATAAATTTTATATAAATAACAAAAATAATATTTTTCAAGCGACCCACATAATAATTGCCACAAAAACGTGTGTTCACATTTTCCCGCTAGCATTTATATCATCACTGAACGCAAACAGCTAGCTCTCGTGATTGTTAGGCTTTTTCAGAATCAGTCTGACTGATAAGGAACGGTCTCAGGCCTGACTTGTTCATTGTATATGAAACGAAGGTGCCTGCATTTATAAAATGTATGGCATTCAGGTTTGATAGTAGGGACCATCTTGACAATTACTATTTCAAGTCTCGACCATTGACTTTGTGCAGTTGCATTTACTGCATAATGTATGAAATGAGTATAATATATAGTATGTCTCCGGGAAAATATCCTCCGGTGAGAAATCTCTTGGCTCTTGGCTAGGTTGAATCTTGAAAAAAAGGAAGGTTGATATCTACAAATGGAAAATGGATATCCACTGTAAGGAAACATAAAGCATAGACATGAACCAGGAGAAAAAAGTATATGTAGCCAATATAAAAAGAAATAATTGCATGTACGGTAACCTTTAGAGTTGGCTTAGACCATTACACCATCCAAGCCTTGGATGCATATAATGGTATAAACCATCCCAATCCTACTCATCTTCGAAGAATTGGTTTGCGTGGTTACTGTTAATAAGGAAGTTCATCCAGCTTCGAATCTTATATTCAAGCTCAATTGTCGGTTTCTTAGTAAAATGACAAACGTGTGTCATTTCGAATGTTATGAGTTTTACATCTGCACTAATTTTAGTTAAAAAAACATTGTTTCTTAGCCTTATTAATTGTCACTGTAGGCCTTGTTTGATTTTTTTTTCCTAATTATTTGTGGAGAGATTATGTGAAATTTTCTTTCTGAGTAGATTTAAATATCTTCCCTTGAAATATATGTTTTGTTTAGATTTCCCCCTAAATCTAGTCTTCATATCAATCTCCCCTGAATTTCCAAACTTGTCCTGATCACATCCTTTTTTCAGACTCTTTTTAGACCTGCAACTTGTTAACGAGATTGATGCTAGAGCTACTACATGAGAAAGTCAATCTCCTTATCTCTTGTCCTTTATTTTACATGCTACTTCTCTCCCCACCTCACCACTCCCGTTTTCCTTATTTCCTCTTGCAAAAACTTTAAATTTATACATGAATATTTTTATTTAATAAACCACAGAGGCAAGACATGCTGGAAATTTCATCTTCTGTTATAAAATCTTTTATCCCTTGCCACCCAGACAAAATTCAGAGAGAGAGAAAAAAAAAGGTACCCTGGGGACACAATTAAGAGAATGGTCGGACCACGTGATTCTGGGCTAACAAATGCGGACGTTGCGGTGTTTCCATGCACGGTCGGTCAAGATTCAGGGCCCCCCACTCTCCATAAGTTGCATGTCCTTTGATAACCTCACACCGTGGTGAAGTGATATCCCCTATAAGCTGCCCCCTCCCTTTTCCCCTGAAAAAGCACCCACACAAAATTATATCCGGACAAGAAAATCCTCGCAAATCACAATCCGAGATCCTCTTTCGTGTTTTTTTGGTAAAAATATTATTTCCTTATTGTCCCTTCGAACTTTATGTGACCAAATATGAAAGCTGCCATC